TAAGTGTAGATATATCATATTATAAATTACATTGTATGATTTTAGTGTATTTATTTGACTACAGAAACTTCAGAAACTACAGAAATAACTAGACTTAAAACAGGCGAGACCAGTAATTGCAGTTTCAATCGGTTTAGCGAAACGAATGGAAATTTTGAAAAAGCGTTTTTTTCAAAAATTTCATTCGTTTCATGAAACTAATCGAAACTGCAATTGATCTGCTGTTGGGAGTGCGACAGAGATAGTTTCGTTGAACTCCGTGAAAGCAAAGCGAGAAAAAGATGTTAAGATCTAAGATAATTGCACAGATTTTATATTTAGTAATACATAAAATCAATAATAACTACGCTAGTCAATTTAAAATCTCTGCAGGAAAATTTTGCCATAATCCTATTGCATTAACTATAGTTTCCCCGCATGGAGAAATATATATGTCAAAAATATATGCTAACATATATTTTTCACATATGTAGATGCTGAAATATGTGTAGAGATACATGCCAAAATATACGTAAACATATATAAACATAGATTAAGAATTTTTTTTACTCAAATCAAAAAGGTGAAATTCTTCAAAATTTTTTACTTGATTCAATTAAAATTTTTTTCTGTGTATATCTAGACATATATATTGCATTTACATATTATATATGCGCGCATATATGTTAACATATATATTAAGAACATTTTGGACTTAAACAATTTAATTTTATCCTAACATTTTCTCCTATATATTGTTTAGTTTATGCCTTTAACACATTCTTTAATATTGATAACAGTCTTGATGTTTATGTGATAAATAATATAGATTCTTTTGCTAAACTATGTTTGTCAAACAGTCACTGATTCGGTGTATCCTATTAAATTTAATTATTTAATAATCTAGGTTTGACTTCTAGTCCAAACATGGTCTTACTACTACTATTACTACACATAAGCTTTATTATAAAAATATAATTGTTATTTTTTTTCCTTATCGAACCCGTTTAATGCCATTGCTGTAGGGTTCAATGTACTGTTAAATAAAATAAAATAAAATAAATAAACATATATATTTATAAATGCGAACGTATATGTAGACATATATTCTATTATCTATTGCGGAATATAAGTTTGCATATATTTAGCGCAAAAAAATATATGTGAAGATATATGAAGGTACAAAAAAGTTTTCTAAAGAGAGAGTAGAATATTTCGGTAATTCAAAATTTACATTGTTCATTTTGCTTACCAGTCTCTCAGAGCGTCTAGCTTCATCTTCAATAAATAGTTCCCTAAAATAACTAGGCTTTTCTATTTGTAATAAATTATAAAAATAAGTAGCTAAATAATGTAGACGTTTTGATTTTATAGATAACCAATTTAATCCACGTCTGTAATGTTTATTGACATAACACACCAAAAAAATGAATCTAAAATAAATTTGTAATACTTCTTAAGATTTTATTACTGGATATTTGATTTTTTTTTTTTTTTTTATTACCTAGCAACCTGCCGCCAATTTCCCCGCGGATAAATCTCCGGAAAAGCTATTTCCCGGGTAATACCGAGTCTTTCCTAGAGATAGAAAAGAGTAAATGTAAAAAGAGTAGATGTCTTCTTGAAGCATCTCCATCCAACTGTTTGCAAACACTCTTCAAATGGGCATTTCGTTTAATTCAGATAATTTATCTCTATTTTACTTTCATCACCCCACAAACTGCTGTATCGTTAAATTAAATTTATATAATATATAATATAATTGTATTAAGTAATAATCTTCATCTCCGACAGTTTATTACACCTCACGCGTTATTTATTTATCTATTGTATTATGTGGATTATTATATATAACAATAAATAATAATGTGTAAATCTTTTTGTTGACAGATCCTTGACATTAAATCATCAGAGATCTCGGTTGAAGAACGATTAATCATGGCTACCAATTTATGGTAAGGATATTTCGGTATTTCAGTGTGCTGGTATGATTGAAGAGATTGTGCTGGTGAGATTGCGGGCGAAGAAGCTAGGCGTGTAGTTTCATGTTAGAGTTTTAGTTTTAGTTTTAGTTAACTTGAGAGGAAGACAAGGTTGGAAATGCTCCAACGTCTTGGGCTCGCTAGACAAAGTAGACAAAGTAAATGTGCTGAGCCGTAAACATGTAATACCCTTTCGCATATGTGGGTGAACAAGATATAATGTATCTCAACGTGGTGTCGTGTGTGTAAACGATGTCACGGCAATTTAATCGTCTACCGACAGTTTCTTTCATCATAAAATTTTATCCCTGTACTCTGAAATAATCTTTTATGTATATAGATATTCTTCTTTAAGTTATACTACAACTAAACTACTATTATATTATATTATGTATTATGTAGCATACATACTTATATATTTCAATGCTCGTACTCATATTCGTACAGCAGTTTTTACACCCCTCCTATATATAGTTTTGTTGTTTATTTTATGACAGTTATAGCTTCGCACTTGATCTCCTAATTGGATTTGGAGATAAAATGAAGCACTTGAATGTCTCGTTAGTAACAATATGAAAGTTATAGTGGTTTCACTTCATTAAACTTTTTCAAAATACTTTTATTATTATTATAATAATAATAATAATAATTTAGCGATTGAGAAGCTATTTTAACAAGCATTTAATTAGCAAAACTCCTTCACTGACTCGGGTAAAAAGTTCCGATCGTTGTCTGAAAAAAAGATTGAGAAGAACTAATTTTTTTGTAGTATTTCATTGGTTTTAATTTAATTGTTTTAACTTACTCTCAGTTTTTTTAATAAAATCAACCGTAGGACTTTATTTTTAATTCTGAAGAATAATAATCATAATTTTTTAGAATACTAACTGCTATTTAAAGTAACAAATTTTTTTTTTTTAAATTGAATTTTTTTTACTTGAAAAACGCGAAATGAACCGTTGAAAATTTTTGATACTCAGCAACATGGCGGCAATTTCACAAAATGACCGGCTGCTTGCACAAAATCATTAGTCCAATTTTTTACACAAAAAAAAAAAAATTAACTTGAATCAATCAAATAATTTAAGCTAAAAAGCTTAAAAAATTTTTTTTTTAATTAAAGTTTTTCATATTCTTCAAGAAAAAAAAAAATAGATACTCTAAAATTAATGTCTAAAAAAATGTTAATGAAAAATAAAACTATCTATTTTTTTTTTTTTACTTTCCAATTGAAAATTTTATTTTCTTAATCATATTTATAGCAAAAAAACAATTAAAGTAAATTAATTTTTTACACGGAAAAAAGTAAACTGTAATAAATAACAGTCGATTTATAATAAGTAATGATCAACTGCTAAAAATTACCATTTCAAACAGTAAAATCGTGATTTTATTATTCACTATATAATTTTTACCATTTAAACGTTACAATTTACTCTTTATGTGGAAGAAAATACTATTTCAAACAGTAATATTCGCTATGTAAATGTCTAAAATGTTAAAGTATAATAATTAAGAACTCAGACTTTGATATTTATCATTTCGTACCTAAAAAAAAAATGATCTTATGATATGTAAAAAGTATAAAATAAAATTAGTAAATTTTTAATACAAGCAACGTCAATATTTACAAAGTAAAATGGTAAATTTTAAACGCAACGCTAAAAATCAAATTGTAATTATTAACTTCTGCTTGGACTGGTAAAATGTATATTTTAAAAGTATAATTTTTACTGTTTCAAATATTAAATTCTCCCAAAGTGAGACCCCCTTCTCTTTCATCTGAGTTCCCCTTCTTCTCATAATATGGACTATATCTAGAAATGGCAATTTTTACTGTTTAAAACTGTAATTTTTTAAGATGAGAGAGTCGTTATTTATTTTGGATATTAAATTATAAATTGTGGCTTTTATACTTTCTACATTAAGTTCTGTAATATTTATATTTTTGCCACCCCGATAAATAAAAAAAAAATTAAGACCCGCATTTAAATAATTACACAGAAAAAAAAATTTACTTGAATCAAGTAAATAATTCTGAAGAATTTGATTTTGATTTGAGCAGAAAAATTCTTAGACAGAAATTTTTCTTGAATTAAGAAAATTTTATTTGATTCAAGAATTTTTCGTCTTTATCCAAGTCAAGAAAACTTTTCAAAATTATTTTCTTGGTTCAAGAATTTTTGTCTTGATTCAAGTTAATTTTTTTTTATGTGTATTTATAAATACTATACGCTGACAGTAATGAAATTTTATCTAGAAAATAACATATAAATTTAAGACAAATAATTAAGAAATAATTTTTAATGCGCTGCGTCGGCAAAACGTCAGTTTTTGTATCAATTTCAGTAAATCAAAAAAAAAAAATGAGTTATTAATTGAATTATTTAAAAGCTATAAATTTGTAAAAAGCTTATTGGACAAATTTATCTGTCTGTTTCTTAATTAAATTTATTTTATATAACCGTAATTGACCTGGCAGCAATCGGGCCTCGTTAATTATGAGAATAAAGCAGTCGACAAGTTGAATTTTATTTATAAAAAAAGGAAATAAGTCAGAGCGTAAATCGAGGGCGATTGAACCTCCACCAAGAGCAAGAGCAAAAGAAAGAGATCCGGTGGGTTGTCAGCTATAAATAATCCCGTAAGAGTCTTTCAGTTTCTCCCTAACTTCAATAATTCACCCAAGTATAAAGCACCCTCGGCAATTGTGAGCTGATAATTATGATAAAAGTCTCAATTTAGTTTTTACCCTCTTTCCAGACAAATCCGGGAGTATCCAGCATCCAACATCCAACTACGCAAGGTGACCAGCTGATACGCTAGCGACAGTTACATTTGTCTCGACAAAACGCCGCTTTACTTGTATAGTAATTACATTGATACTAAAGACAATAATCAGACTGGAACGTATCTGGAAAAACATATCGTTTAAATCTTCTGGCAAACAAAGTGGCTAGAAGCGTAAGTCCGTTAGCCCACCAGGTGTGCTCCAGGTTAGAGTCACAGGTGTCAAAAGAGACACTTGTATCGAGGCGCATGCCTTACCTCGGGCCTGAAATGACAACCCGGCTGTCCGCCATGTTTTACACGGTCGAGGTCGGGGACACCAAGTTTACTATCCTCAAGCGGTACCAAAATCTCAAGCCCATTGGCTCTGGGGCTCAAGGAATCGTTTGGTAAGATTTTTTATCACATTAAAATTAATAGACACTTTTTTCAATTTTTTTTTAACAAACAAATTTGTTCCCAAAAATTTTTTTTAAAAATTGCATTTTTTGGTTTTTTTTTTTTATTTCTACATGACAATTTTTTTTTCATAATTTATTTGAGACAAAAATCTGCTAAATTTATTTTTAGTTTTTTTTTATTATTTTTTTTTACACAGAAAATTTTTTTGGAAAAAAATAAGCAATGGTGTAATAAGAAATTAATTTAATGAAAATTTTATTTTTTAGCTGAAAAAATAAAAATTTTTCTGTAAATAATTTTTTTGGTAAAAAAAAAATTTTTTTAATTTAAGAAAAATTTTTTATAGACAACTTAAGAATTTTTGTCAAAAATTAAACAATTTCTCAAATTTAGTAAAATTTTTTTTAACAAATTAATTTTTTATTACAAAAAAAAATCTCACATTTAAAAGCTCTAAAAAATTATAAATGCAATTTTTAAAAATAAATTTCTAGTCTTAATTTATTTTTTAAGAATAATAAAATTTTCAAGTGTGCTAATTTAAGTGCCATATTTTTTCTTCATTTTTATAATAGATAGATATTGATAAAATGTATAAAATGTCAATAAAGTGACGTTATTATTCTAATTTAATATTATAAAAATTATTTATATTATTATTCTCCACACTCTGCCCTTAGAGTATGTTCTGACATTTTATTTTTTTTATTCCAGTGCCGCCTACGACACGGTCACGCAGCAAAATGTTGCTATTAAGAAACTGTCAAGGCCCTTTCAGAACGTGACACACGCCAAAAGAGCATACAGGGAATTTAAACTTATGAAACTTGTCAATCATAAAAATGTAACTACATTGTTTTTATTTATATTTATATTTTATACTTCATTTAATTATTCATCACTGTCTTAGCTCACTGTACACTGTACACGGTAGTCGCTTATGTTACATATAACCCAAAACTGTCAGAACTAGGGTCCGTTCTCATTTTACTTTTCACTTAATGTGAGTGACTTATTAAAGTCGCGAATAATTAAATATTAAATATTATTAATTTGACAGAAAAATTTTTAACAATTTAAAGGATTAAATTTTTAAAAATTCAACTATTGTGTAATAATAGTCATAGTAACAATGAAGTACCTAAAAAAAAAAAAACAATTTTGTAAAATTATCATTAAAAATTTTTAAAATCATTTTTTTTTATCATATTTTATTTTTTATAGAAGTAAAAAAAGTTGTCAACTGTTATAATACTAAAGTTAACCGACGTTTTTAATTTTTTTGATTAATTAAATTAGAATGAAAAAATATTTTTTTAAATATTGAAATTACAGTTTTTTACAAATAAATTTTTTTTTTTAATTATTTTTTATTAAAATAAACTCAGCCAACATCTAAAAATTTTTTTTATTTTTTTTATGAAAAAATTATTAGGAAAAAAATTGATTTGTAAAAAATTTGAAAAACTCTGAGTGCAATTTTAAAAAAAAATTTTTTAGTCTTAATTTAATAATTTAAAAAAAAATCAAAAAATTAAAAACGTCGACTAACTTATTATTGTTAATTTTTTCAATGAAAAAAAATTCTAAATTTTTTAAATATCGGCTAATTTAATTTTCATTTAGCTATTTGGTGATTTCAATACAATAATAATAATAATTTTAATCATAATGGTGAAAATTTTCAGATTATTGGTCTCTTGAATGCATTTACGCCACAAAGGTCATTGGATGAATTTCAAGACGTTTACTTGGTAATGGAACTGATGGACGCAAATCTGTGCCAAGTAATTCAAATGGATTTGGACCATGAGCGTATGTCCTATCTCCTTTATCAGATGCTCTGTGGCATTAAGCATCTCCATTCAGCCGGTATTATTCACAGAGTACGTGTCGTTATATTATGCATAACCACATATTTACTCAGTTCAGCCTACAAACTAAACTCTACACTAGATACAGTTATACACACAGAGCTACCGGGTCTGCTTCTCATCCGCAGTGGTGGGCTTTAGCATGTTTAAATATTTAATCCTCATGTGTGTTTTCCAGGATTTGAAGCCAAGCAATATAGTCGTTAAATCAGACTGCACACTGAAGATTCTAGACTTTGGACTCGCGCGAACTGCTGGAACGACGTTCATGATGACACCCTATGTTGTCACGCGCTACTACCGAGCACCTGAGGTTATCCTGGGTATGGGTTACAAGGAGAATGTCGATATTTGGTCTGTCGGATGCATCATGGGTGAGATGATCCGCGGAGGAGTTCTTTTCCCTGGCACTGATCATATTGATCAGTGGAATAAAATTATTGGTATGTTATTTTTTTTATCAGCTGTTTTTGATAAATCTTGCTCACCGATTTTGAAAAAATTGCATTTATAATTTTTGTAACAGGTACATTTTTATAAAAAAAATTCTTTAAAAGTTATAAAAAATTATAAATGCAATTTTTTAAAAATAATTTTCTAGAACTAGTTTATTTTCCAAAAAAATTAAATATCTAATTTCAGTATCACAAATATATATTACTGAAATTTAAAGAAATCTGATAATTTTTTTAACAAATAAATTATCACAATAAAAAAAATTTATTTAAAAAAATTTCATTTTTAAAAGTTCTAAAAAATTATAAATGCAATTTTTTAAAAATAATTTTCTAGAACTAGTTTATTTTTCAAAAGAATTAAGTGTCTAATTTAATTGTCATAAATATATATGACTGAAATTTAGAGAAATCTAATAATTTTTTTTAACAAATAAATGATCACAAAAAAAAAAATTTATTTAAAAAAAAGTCAATTTTTTTAAATTCTAAAAAATTATAAATGCAATTTTTTAAAAATAATTTTCTAGAACTAATTTATTTTTCAAAAAAATTAAATATCTAATTTCAGTATCATAAATATATGATACTGAAATTTAGAGACATCTGATAATTGCACGCCTCATAAGCGAAGCGTTGAGGTAGTGCTGTACTTTCGACATTTAAAAAAAAGCAGTTTTCTCGAAACTGAAATTGATTTTTTTTATTTATATCGCACTTACAGGTTAATCTGAGTGTACTAATATCAAGTCAAATAATTTTTCAGACACAAAATGTATTTCAATAAAAATTATTTTGTTTAACATAGTAAATAATAACATTTAAAATAATTTTTTGTGGACGTCCATGTGTCTGTGCTTATAGATTGGCGTATGTGGCAGGGAAATTGGTCGAAAAAATGATCGTACCGGAATAATTTTTTTTTATTATCTAAAGTAACATACGACGGAGTTTTTCAATTAATATGAGCTTTCAATTCACTGTCGTTAAATTATTATTTATAAAAAACTAATATGTGACTGTGTATTTTTTTGTGTATCTATCTATACATTTTATTACAGTATTTTTTTTTTCACCTTAGAATTATGGCGCCACTAAACCATAGCAGAGTTTTTTGCTTTTTATATTTCATTTTAATCAATTTTATTGTGAAAAATAAGGCGTGCACTTTTGGATTTTCTAAACTTTTTTTAGAATTTTTTTACCAAATAAATTTTCACAAAAAATAATTTATTAAAAAAAAATTCTATCTTTAAAAGCTCTAAAAAACTATAAATAAAATTTTTTAATCAAATTTTCTAAAACTAGTATATTTTTTAAGAAACGTCAAAAAATTTTCAAGTATCTTCTAATTTAAAAAATAAAATAAAAAAATATTTATATAACTTTCTAAACAAACATCTAAACTCTAATAATTTCCAGAGCAACTTGGGACGCCGGCTCAAGAATTCATGCAACGACTGCAGCCAACGGTGAGGAATTACGTAGAGAACAGGCCTCGATACCCCGGGTATCCTTTCGAGAGGCTATTCCCGGATATTCTGTTTCCCACGGACTCCTCGGAGCACAATAGACTGAAGGGTAAGTTAAAGTTGGGAATCAACTCAAGTACAACATGTTATCTCTCTCTCTCTCTCTCTCTCTTTCTATTTATATCTATTATAATACTCGCCTTGGAGACTAGTTCCTCTGTTTCCTCTCCGCTCATATAAAGCACTGAAACTAGGAGCATATGTCGAGTGGTTTGAAGCCAACTTTCCATTCCAGCTCCTTCCTAAAAACTCTAACTCTACTCTCTCAACGAAATTTCCTGCATCATTTGTTTGCAGCGAGTCAAGCCAGGGACCTGCTCTCGCGCATGCTAGTCATCGATCCCGAACGTCGCATCTCGGTCGATGACGCTTTATTGCACAATTACATCAACGTCTGGTACGACGAGGGTGAGGTCAACGCTGTAAGTATTAACGACATGCAATCACTGATAATGAACAAGCATTAAAAGGACATTTAACACGGTAGATAGTCTATACTCGACTATCTGCAGATCGTGTACTATGTACTATGTCCTATGTACATAGAAAAAAAGGTTCACTTTAGCGAGGAAAATATTTTTCTTCCTAATTATTACCTTGAGCGAAAAAAAATTTTTTTTTCTTTTTGATACAAGAAATTTCACTTATTCCAACTTAATTAATTCTTTTGCCTTAAGAAATACGGATCTTGATCCAAGAAAATTTATCTAAGTCAAGAAAATCTTGTTATGAGAAAATTCAGCCTCTTGCTCTAAAAAATTTTGTTCTTGATAGAAGTTAATTTTCTTGTCTTGAAAAAATTTCTCTCTTGCTCCAAAAAATTAAATATAAAGATAGAAATAAATTTTATTTTAATTATGATTATTTTAATAATTATAAAAAATAATTAAATTGGAGCAAAAAAAAATTTCTTGAATATAATTTTTTGGAGAAAATTTGTTTGTTTTAAAAAAATCAAAAAATGGTCAAATGATTGCTAACTTTAATATCATTAAATTTTCATTAATATTTTTATTGATTAACATGTCAAATGGGAAGATCAAATAATAATGAATCATTTTTTTTCATTCAATATGTATAATTGCACGCTAAAACAATATAAAATGGGTATCAAATATTTAAGAGAAAAATTTTCTCAAGGTGAAAAAATTTTTTTCTCAGTTGAAGTAAGTAGCGCTGCTTCCCTAAAATATCTAAAAATCTTGATCAAATAAAAAAATGTATTGTATCAAGTATTTATGATAATTTTAATTAAGAAAAAATTACTTCCACCACGAATAGAATTTAAAGAAAAATTTTTACTTCGGCCAACACAATTTCAGTCTTTCTTCAGGCACTCAAAAATTTTCTTGAGCCAAGAATTTTGTTCTCCAGTCAAGAAATTTTTTTTTCTGTGTACTGTACATAGTATATAGTATGTACATAAACCATACTACCATAAACCGTTTATGGGGATTAATAGCTAGAATTTTTCATTCTAGCCTGCACCGGGTCCTTACGACCACAGTGTCGATGAACGGGAGCACACAGTCGATCAGTGGAAGGAACTGATTTATCAGGAGGTAATGGAATACGAGACAAGTCACAATCCTGCGGCGACCGCCCAATCATCCGTGGATCCAGTTGCTGGCTCACGGTAGACATTGCACATTAGACAAAGGGATCATCTGTATCTACGTTTCCAATTTATTAATAAAAAATCTAATTATTATTGATAATTGGTTTTTTAAACAACATCACCGCAACACAAATTTTACTCTACATACTACCACTAATTATTATTATTATTCAATATAAATTTATACACATTCAACTGTTCCGCCCGCTCGATTAAAAAATCACGACTCGTCTTCACCTTTCTTCTCATAAACTTTTTGACACCTGGTATAGATTCAATATTGCACTCTACTGTTGTACTTCACCTATTTATTTATCAGTAGTATGTCTACAACAGGGAATTCTATTGAATTATTACTTGATATATTTTGGACGGTGCTCGTTGATTATTTTAAAACAAACACGAGTGAAGAAATAATTTAGAAGAAGGTGATTAATCAAGCGAGTCGATTTAAGACTAGACGTTTAGTTGATAATAATGTTTTTGAGCCCTTTACTTGTGTATCACAGGCTATTATTATTATTATATATATATATATAAATATATAAATAAATTAAAATAAAAATTGAAAAATAAAATAAAAAAATGATTAATGTAATAACGGGCGCAGAGATATGGACGTTTTAATTATAGTGTGTTTTGTGCTTAAGTGATAAATTTTATAATAATTTATTCCAACTGCCCTGACAATTACGTTGTTTAAAAGTGTACAGTCGCTACTGAGTTTTTATATTAATTCGAGGAATATTTTTATTATTATTGTTATTATGATTTAATTTTTTTATTTTATTTAAATCCTCTGTATCTTTTTTTTTTTTATTCAAAGTCTTGTTGTACATTTTACTGTCAGAGTATTGGTATGAATAATTGTATTTATTATTATTATTATTATTATTATTATTATTTTAATTTAAGTAGAATGAATTAATGTTATTAAAGTAAAATGATTTAGTGAGAGCTTTTGTTTATTAAATTAAATAAAGCAAGCAAGTACAGAGGCGTTATGGTAATAATAAAAATTTGATGGAAAAAGTGTAATAATAATAATATTAATATTAAATTTTATTTTACCACGAAAATAGTTATGTGAATATATTGCTACAGTCCGATCCAAATAATCAAGCTTTTGTAATACTAATTATAATAATTATAAAATGAATAATAACAATAATAATAATGATAACTATTTAACATTAAGATATTATAATTGCTAATGTAATTGCATTGCACACGGTTAATAATTATTGCGTGTACTGAGTACGTTATGGGTATATATATAAATAAATATGAATATAAATATAACTAATTATAATTATTGTAATAAATATAATACGACGCAGATAATTGAGAAAATTTGTGTCACGATCATAGAGCTCTACCAAAAATCTTTACGAATAATTGCGGTTCATTAAAGGCAATTTTTGACAGTACTCTCCACTTTTTAATTTTGACGTAATTTTTCAACTTTTTAGTCCGCCATTTTGAATGGTCATTCCATCTCAAAATTTATTTATTTGATTTTGTCTAATTATTAACAAATAATAATTTGAAATAATTTTTTTTTTAATCTTTGTCATAGTACAATTGTAATTACATCAAAATTTTTTTAAATTACTCCTTTAATTTTTTTTAATTTACATAATAAGTTTTAAGGTTATGAAGAATTGGTTACAAGAAGTTGAATTTTTAAAAAGTAGAGCGCGCTGTCAAACAATCGCTTTGAAACCCCGTATTATATAAATATAATAATTGACGCACGCGTAAATTTTACCGCCAACGTCAATTAGATTAACGATTAATAATTATGATTATAAAAATAATTATAATTATAATTATAATTATAATGATTACTAGTAATAACGTTGGGCTATCCCTTGAGCTTGAGTTTTGAAACATTCCCTCACTCCATCGGATAGGGTATAATGGAATTTGTACTTGATGAAAATAATATAAATATAAATATTTATAATTGTATAAAAACAAATATTAAGTATATATATATATATATATATATATATATATATATATATATACATATTATCGCTTTTGTAAAATTTTGATTAATCTCTGCTGAGACTACTTTAGCTTAACAATAATATTTATAAAGATTTTTGGAGCCCGTGCTCTGCAGTTTGATAAGTGATAATGTCAGAGACCGGAGGATTTATTAAGAAGTATATATAAAAATAAAATACACAAACATTTATTATTATACATGAAAAAAATAAACAATAAAAAATTGTAAGGGTAATTTTTGGAGGATATTTGCGAGCCGGCGTATTTTTATTTATTAATTAATAGTTAATAATTAATAATAAATGACCCACAGCCCACAATTGTGGAAGAATATGTCCATGTTGCTAAATTAGATCGGTAGTTTCGCGGATAGTTATGTAGCGGTAATTAAATTTGTTTGAGTTAATTTAAAATAATAATAATAATAATAGTAATGTATAAATGATTTATTATAAGCGAGTGGTTAATTATAGAGTTGTATGTTAATGAATAATTGTAACAATGTGCAATGCATAAGTGAAATGAGGATTATCTTCAACGCTTTTTAGATTAGTTATTTAAGCCTTAGCCTTTTTCAATAAAATAATTTTTGGTGGATTTTATCTACCAGGTAGGTTATTAAGATTGCATAAGTAATAATAAAATTAATAATAATAATAAAATAGTTTTTTAAGTCAAAGAAGAAATGATAAGAAAAAATTAAAAAATTTTAACCATTATTATTATTGTTATTATTAAGTTTGAATTTTACACAAAATATTGTTGATAATAATAATAACAACAATAAGTAAAATAATAATTTATTATTATTATTTATTTATTAAGTTTATTTCAAAAAATTTTTTAAATTAGTTTTCTTCTTAATTAGAATAAATTTTTATGTCAAAGAAGAAATAATAATTTTTGGAAATAAACTTAGTAACTAATTAATAATAATAACAATAATAATAACACTGCAGTTTTTTAAGTCAAAGAAGAAAAGATAAAAAAAATTTTAATTATTATTATTGTTATTATTAAGTTTGAATTTTCCATAAAATATTGTTGATAATAATAATAACAACAATAAGTAAAATAATAATAATTTATTATTATTATTTATTTATTAAGTTTATTTCAAAAAATTTTTTTAATTAGTTTTCTTCTTAATTAGAATAAATTTTTATGTCAAAGAAGAAATAATAATTTTTGGAAATAAATTTACTAACTAAATAATAATAAAAATAATAATAATAATAATAATAATAATGTTTATTTAAATGGAAGAAATGAAAGCTCTTAAAAAGCGTAAGCTTTGTATAGTTCTTTGTTCTTAACTATTCTTCGGGCATTAAAAAAGCCGGAATGATTGTTGTGTCGAGTATCGGGCGCTTATAACTATATTTTATTTTCTACCTTTTAATAATAATAATTTAATAATTATATTATTTTATTAAGTAAAAATTATTGTCATTGTAATACTCTCGTCCCTCTCGTAAGCGAGAGAGTCAGTATGTGTGATATGCGATTGTAATTTGTATGCATTGTCTTTACTTGTCGAATGGATTAATCATTATAAGGGAATAATAATAATTAACAATTAATAATAATAAATAAATAAATAGATGTTTATGGTGACAAAAGTCCATTGCTCCGTAAACGTTAAAATGTGTGAATTTGTTTATTAAATAAATAAAACTTAAGTAGTTATTAGCGACGTGTAGCAGTAGATTAGTGATAATGATAATTAATTGAAATAATAAAATAAAATGTAGCTAATTAAAATGGTAAAACATGTAGTAATTAGTTTTGGTAGTTAAATGCAGTGTAATCATTATTTATTATTATTATTATAATAGACTACAGTTGAATTTCTCGGTTGATTGATTGATTAATTGGGCTAATTGATTGATTGATTGATTGATTGATGATTATGTTACCTCTTCTGTAAATACATTACGATAATTATCATTATTGTGAGTAAGTTAAGAGGAACGAGAGAGAGAGTGAGAGAGGGATGGATAATTAAAATAAAAATAATAATTAATAAAACAGCAATGAATTACGGATTTAATCTCCAGTATAAAAATTAATAATTATTAATTATTAATTTAAAATCAACTAGCCTAGAAGTTTAAAAATATAAAGGTTTAAAAAAATAACCAAGCGCCCAATAAGGGTGTTTTAAAACGTCCTTAAATGTTAACGTAATTGTCCGTGCTAATTATTTCGGTATTGTTTAAATAATTTTTTTTTTTTACATGTATAAATATTGAAAGTTTATTAATATTAATATTTATATTAATATTGATGCTCTTGTGCAATACAATATATAAATATATATATATATAAAATATCTATAACTGTGAATATAAATGAATCTGAAGTTTTAATTGAAATTAATATAAAGAGAAGAATTAAAAGCTGATGGCCGACTGGATATGTTAAATTTTTAAAATTTAATCTAAGTTTAATTCAACAGTGTGATTTTATTTTATTTATTGTTTATTTAGTAAATACCTTTTGACACATATTACGCCGGCAATTAATAATCCGTTTAGCAATGCTGAACCAATTGCTCAATAATGCTGTTGGTTTTAATTAATAAAGAATGGAAACAAATATTAATATGTATTCCATTTTCTTTGCCCGTGTCCTCTAGATACATTATTAGTTTGTTTAGAATTATTAGATTCAAATGCAGTGAGTAATAGTTAGTTAATATGGTATTAGATAATTGTTGAGATATCTTTGATAAGTTTCTTCAGAGATGCGCGTTGCATATTGATTAACCAGCCAAAAGATAACTAGAACAACGAGAAACTTTGATTGTAATTAAAGTTGTAGAGGATTATACTTACGATATTCTCAGGTAAGACCATTTATTGCTCTTCTTAGATTTATTATTACGTAGTAATAATAAGTGAAAATCTAATTACTATTTCGCTTTTTTTGTATTAATTTTTTAAGAAAAAAAATTTTTTTTTTAATAAAATTAGTATTTTCTTCATTGGAAAAAATTTTTATATCAAAGAAGAAATGATAATTTTTGGAAATAAAATTAATAAATAATAATAATAATAATAATAACTAGCAACCTTGCAGTCACTATGTGACTGCCGTGAATTGTAAACTATAAATAAATAAAATTTTGCTTTAATTAAATAGTGACTTTTGTTAAATTGCACTGTACTTTCTTAAATATTGACGTTTTTAAAGATATAAGCTCTTCCCAATATTATACTCATTAAGAGCTTTCATTTGAGTACCCACATGCATTTTTGATATATTTTTCATATATGTATATATATAATATATATAAATATATGAAAAATTGATGTGGGTACTCAAATGAAAGGTCTTGATGAGTGTAACATCGGGATGAGCTTATATCTTTAAAAATGTCAATAGTTCACAAGATATTTGTTAAAATGCCCTGTACTTTCTTAACTATTGACATTTATAAAGATATAAGTTCATTTCGATGTTACAATCATCAAGAGCTTTCATTTGAGTACCCACACGCATTTTGATATATTTTTTATATATTCATATATA